ATGGGTCCCGTATTTTTTAATCAGGTTCTCTGTGATCTGTTGAAGGCTGGGCCGGCGCCCCAGAAGACGAATGTTGCGGATGAATTCTGGAGCCAGAGGCAAAGGCAAACTGAAGAAATCTTTTCTTTCCAATGCCAAGTTATTGACTTTCCAACGAGCAAATTCTCTGGAAGAAAATAATAAGAGAAGATAGAAGAAAGAACAGACATAAACTAAGCACATCATACCCAGGAGGTTCTAGGAATGTAAATAAAAAAAGAAAGAGCAAGGTCCTAGCCTCCAGAAATCTGCTGAAAATAATTTGTTCAATCCTGTTGAGTATTTGGGGGATTTCAGATTTCAGAACACAGCTGTTTATAAGTAGACCTTAATTTGCGATATGACCTGGTAGGAAGATAAAAGTGGAAACATATTTAATGTTTGAATATTTTCAGCTGAATATTTTCCTCATACAGACGTTCAACAGACTGAATTTACTGCTGAACTGATGCTTAATTTCCGTTTTTCAGACTGGAAGAATGAAGTCTGTCTACAATGGTAGACAGCTGATAAACATCACATTGGCACCAGGTTAAATGGACCAGTGACCTGACTCTGAATAAAATACTTTTAATATTAATCCTCATTGTCCCTTTAAGCTGCTGATGTTTCCAGAATTTATCCACATCTTTCACCTACCTGAGAATGCAGAAAAATGTTACACGCAAACTAGTTTAAAAACTAATGCCATATGTGGAAATCACACCAGAGGTGTATAATTAAAGTTACATTTCTAACCAACTGATTAGGGGGAAAGCCTCCTTCAAGTTAGTAAGACTTCCTTATGATTAGGCCTGCCTGGGATTCCATTCCATATCTGTCTTTGATTATTTCAAACAAACAAACAAACAAAAAATTTAGATGTTCCCTTGAGTATGAGCCTTCAACTTCCCTGCTGCATAGGGAGTTGCTTCACAAGCCCAAGACTCCAGCAGGACATGAAATGTGAGTGACTGAAAAAAAGGTGACCTCATAGGTATGACTTGATTACCAAATAGAAAGAGTGTTTATTATAGACCTGGTGGAAACAGCAGCAATCACAAGCAAGGGAATTTCCAAAATTATGAAATGGGTGGGAATTTCCAGCCAATGTTCTTAACATTCCCTCCCACTTTTCATTCTGCTTGGCTCTCCAAAAGTAGGGTTTCTACAGTCCCAAAGCAAGCAGTGACCTTGAATGATTTAAAAAAAAAAAAATTCTAAGTAGGCCTGGGTAATGGACTTTGGATGGGAGACCACTAAAGAATATCAGGACTGTGGGCTAACTGGGAAGAAGTCAAAAAAGATTGCTAATTATGCGTGAGAGTTCAGCGTGTAAAATAGTAAATGATAATGAGGGAACTTCTTTCGAGTAAATGATTTCTGACTGTTAGTAAGGCAAGTGCTGAATAGACAGCATGCTATCATACCGCTTATCATCCCTGGTTGCCAAGGAGGAGCAAAATGGGAAAGAACTGAAACACTCTATCGCACTGCTCTCATGTGAGAACTAGGACAGGAGTCTTTGTTTTCCACAATACATAAGAGTTGGACAAATGAATTTGTACAGCTGGAATTTTGTATGTGTATGTGGAAAAAAGAAAAAAGTTTATGATACTTTAAAAATAATAAATGTATCATGCTACAACGTTTTGTGAACTACAACCATCATTAAATACATAAAGTATCATCTTCAGTTGTTAAGGGTGATTATTAGATTTATTTTGCATATGTTTAGTCTTAACTAAATATTAGTTAAAGTGAATAGTTAGTCTTTAACTAACAATTAAATAGTCTTTAACTATTCAGCCTGAGGATATTACTTCACACGCTACCAAAACCTACACCAGAATAAATCCTGTAAAGAGACCAACATGGTTAATGTACCCAAAAATATGTTTGCAAGTTGCTGATCAAGGACATATGATTTTAAGATTTTAAATTTTATGTCTGATGTAACCACAACCCATCCCTATCACATTTATTTTTAGCTGTTATAGATATACTACAATTACAAAAATAACTTAATTTTTCTTCAGTTTTGGTCAACATATTAATAATTCAGTGCTTTTATTTCTTTTTCACTAGAATTATTTGGGATTAAAGCATGGTTGAAGAAAAAGTAAGTGAACCCAGATTGGATTATCATAAATTGGAATGGTAGTAGTTTCAGTAAATATCTGTCTGGAGGGGAAAAGAATAGCAAGCAGTACACTCCAAGATTTATTTTTTCAGGGAACCAGGCTAGATCAAGCTAGCACTCTTAAAACTTTTAGATCTAGAATATCAGGTAGCAATATTAGGAAAAGCATACCTCGGAGAAAGACATTTCTGAACAGAGCATGGTCCACTGAGCTGAACAGAAAGGTGATCTCACCCAGCGTAGAGTAACTTCATAGAGGTTGATTTAAAACTGTTTGTCAGTGAAGTAGAAAGTATTTTTTGAACTTTCTGGAAAGGTTACAAGAAACACCTATTGTGTGTGGTATATGCCAACCAAATGATCAAAATCAGTGTCAAGGCAAGCATTGTACAGTGAAAATTACACTTGCTTTTCCTATTGTTATTGATTAAATATCTCTTCAAAAGAATGCATACAGTATATCGTGGTACAGCTGCCATAAATTATGCAAATTAAGACAATGTGCAGGTTTTTCTCTTATTTAGCATAATCCGTTTAAAAAGTAATCTATGTCACATTTTTCTTTTGGGGAGAGAAGGTGTTGCTATACAAATATATAATGTTGCTACACAGCGGAATGTTATACAAAGCAGTACAACTCTAGTTCTTGTACTCGATCAGAGGTTGAATACCTGTTTTGCAAACAATAGGACCAATATTTCACTCCCAACGTTTTCAGCTTAAAATGATAATCAAATGTCAGCCTGGATCTGCAGGAATTTTTCTGAGGAAAGATGGGCACAAAGCTGCACAATGGAATGTGGCTGTAATTTGCACAACTATGAATTTTCTAGTACTTGCACTTTGGTACTTTGACATTTTGGAGTCAAATAGTATTAAAGTAGCAGAGTGTTACATCGAAATTTCACACAATATGATCATGAATTCCAATACATCTTTATTTGGCGTGAGGGACATAAAAGAACTGAGAACAAGCTCCATTTGCCATGGAACTTCTGCACAACCTTTCTCTCAGCAGGAACAATCATGACAGTGTCTCAGGTAGAAAAAGAAAAGATTTCACAGAGGACATTTAATCCTTATTTCTAGCCCTCTTATTTTCATGGGGACAACAATGAGCATTTAGCAGAAATTTAGAAAAGCGTCAGCTGTCAGAAGTTTGGGGAACAATGCAACAGTCTGCCAATTGTGTAACTGTCCTTTCAACTCAGCTCCAATGTCTCTATCTCCCCTTGTGCTAAATGTGCCTTAAAAGCTACTTTGGTAGTTTTGTGGTTAGTGTTCATATATTCATCTTGGGACTCTGTATTACTTCTGGCTTTGCCAATCATCCTGTACTCCCTTGCTTCCCTTCCATCTTTCCCAATCAGACTTAATTAAAGTGTTTGCAAGCCATTGCCTGGTTTTAATTACCCTGAAATTTTCAAAATTAGAATGAAATTGGCCAATCATTGTTTACAGAGGCATTGTTTGGAGAATACAGCGGTCTGTTGAAATCATCTTCATGCCAGTCACCAGTGTGAAGAGTATGTGCCACCTCTGAAGCTGAGGCCTGGTTGGCACATACCATAAGAGTTCCTGGATGGGCGGCAGATTTTATGTTCATATATGTGAAATTACTGAGTGTCAACATGTTTATCTTTGGCAGAGGCTTAATTTAGTCAGTATGTCATGTTGGGGAAAGGGGTATGTCTATCCTCACAGGAATCCTTCATGTTTGTTAGATGGAGAGAGAATGGCTGTGTTTGCATGACACATTGATTGGCAATCTAATTAAACTTTAGCCTATCAAGTCATGTGAACCCAGCAATTCTGATTAACTGATGGCTCAAGGTGTCATGCAAACCCAGACAAGAAGAAAAATGGGATTATGTTAACTGTGGGCAAGTTTGTGTGAACACAGGTAATGACATATATGTACCAGTGCAAAGACATATATGTCCCCAAAGACATATATGTACCAGTGCAAAAAAAGAGTCATGTGTAATATATGGAAACCCATTATCTCAGTTCCCCTAGGTAGTAACAAAGCAGTTGATAGACTACAATGACTGTCAAGAAATACAATGGTTGGAAAGACAACTGTGCCTATCCCCTTTTCATTTTCCTGAATGTCTCCAGGTCTTGTGGTGAACATTGTTATCGGGCAATGTTATACCACCGGACTCAGATGGGGTTCACATAGCATACCAAATCATAGTTTGTTTAACCATGTTTACTGAATAAATCACCATTGGCTATGTTTGCCCAATATGCTAAACACAAACAAATTATGTTATGGTTTAGACAGCAATGTGTAAAGCAAGTTTTTCTTTCCATATCAAGATAGTCCTTTGGGTCCCACATTTATTCCCTTGTTATTCTTGAGTATTTCATTTGATCCACATTTTCAGAATATGGTAACTTTTCAGATGATACCTTCTGACCTTTGTAAAGCTGCCCATAAGAAAATTAAAATGTAGATAAATTGTGTGTTTTAGAATAGAATATGTTAGAGATTTATATCTTGGAAAAGAATTAATATTTGATATGAAAGTAAAATGCAAATATGTATTCAAAGTACAAGTTTTGATATTTATTTTTTAATAGTAGAAGAACACAGAAATAGGATAAAGGCGATATATGACATTATTATTTCACTCTGGCAGCACTTGTCCTGATTTTTGAAAGAGCTTGAACACCTGCAGCAAATGCCTCTGCATGTTCACATGCACTTTCACATAAGATCTACCAGATGCACCCCCAAGAAGTGCCTGCATGTGTTCGTGCACACACAGACCCGGGCCCAGAGTTCTTAAGTGAATGAAGGTTGCAGGCTGAATCTACTACCATTTCATTGACAAGACGACAATTCCTAAGGCTGGCCTCACCATTTTTCAAGACATTTCAAACATGACTCAGCCCACCTTCTTCCTACAGAATTCTATATTGAAGGCTGTAGACAACTTTCCACACCCCACCCTGCCCTGAAAAATCCCCGCATTTTGAATCTAAGTCAGCTCAAC